TTTTTTTTTTTTTTTTTTTTTTTTTTCCGGCCCTAGCCTAACTTTTAAAAATCACACATAGAAATGTTAAGCTTGCAAAGACAGGAAAATTTTCCCAGGCCAAAGTCTCTGTTGTAGATAAAGAATTGTAACACAGCAAAATTGCTGGCTCAAGGACAGATGCCCTTGGTACAGGTTAACCTACTGATTAATATTTTAAGAAAGTTACTTGATTGTTATGTAACATATTAAAGAAATTGCTGTAGGGAAACAAAATGTTTGCTGAGAACAAGCTTTTGTTGGTGGACCTACTTAACTTTTTACAAATTGCATTATGGAATGTCACTTTGTTATTTTACTGATGTTACCAGCTTCTATTGTTAAACTATACTTAGCCATAACTACATCTATGTTCCTTTTCTGTAACTTTCTGGCCTGGAAAAAAAATACTGAGAAAGAACCTCAGTTCGGTATTATTTTTCCAAGGAGGAATGCCTCTCTCTTGAGGGTTCCTGGAAAATTAACCCCTTTGGCGCTTCTCACTGCTGGGAAAAAATGGGCTTTGAGTAATCCTTTGCATCTCTGTCACCCTGGGGGAGAGGTGACAAATATCTTGGTGGAGCTGTAAAGAGTGTTAAGAATATGAGTTTTTTAAAAAATGAGTTTAACAATAATGTGTTGGTATATTTCTTGGGTCAAGGTGGCGAGTCTGGTAGTTATGTTGTTGGAGGGTATGAGCTGATAGCTTAGTAAAATATCTGCATGTATCTGATCATGGTCAGAGATGCAGGGTGAGAATAGGAGTGAGTGGTCCACCCCAAGGGGTCAAGGAGTTGACTTATATGAGGCAGATGCCTTCTGGGGAAAGTAATAATCTCCTTTAACTTTTGGAATGGTATAGAAGTAACCTGGACCAGATTTTCTTTTAGTCATAGGAGTGTAGGTGTGTATTTTTTGCCAGGGAGCAAGAAATATACCAGGATCATGAACTAAGCAGACAGCAAGCTCAGAAACATAATAGACTCTCTAACATGAAAGAAAGGAAAGCAAAAATGACCTGTGTCCAATTTGTGCCTTAGAAGAGGCAGTCCATGGGCCTTCCTGGGTGGATGTTTTAGTGTCCAGGATTAAATTGCCTCCAGCTCAGGGGATGAAGTCAGCTCTAACAGCAAGGTCCTAGACTGAGGCAATGCCATCTGACATGCTGTCATCTTCAGCAGGGAGCTTCTGGGCCCAGGTGATGTCATCTTGGACGCAGTACTTGACGTATCCTTTTGAAGTGGATAACCTCTTAGGTTGATGTGGGTCTAGCATTTGCCAGCTTGGTTGAAACAATGGCTTACTTAGAGGGTTTGGGCCTCTGGATTGTAAACCAATGAAAACACCCTGACCAACAATTAACAGACTGGTGTGCAGCTACACTTGACAGGGTTTTTGGTTTTGTTTTGGTGAAAATTTAGATTCAAATGGGTCCTATATCAGATGAGCAGCTGCCTGGCCCATGGGACAATTTATGGTTAATCGATCCCAGGTAAGTATGTGTCCTTGATCTGGCCTCCAACCTTATGGGATGGGAGCAAGATCGAAATTTATAAAGATAGATTAAGGCCTGGGGATGACCTCCTCCAGCACTGTGGCATTTGGCAAAGGACTGAGGACATGGAAAGACACTCCCTCCTGCAGGTGGAATATACCAGAGGGCCCATATTTGGCTCCATCCAGTATTAAGGACACCTCTGTAGCCATTCCAAGCTTGTGGGGTGCAGATTCCATGACCTGAAGCATAACAGGCAGCTAGGTATGGAGGGTCTGTGAGAGCCTCCATTTTTCAGGAAACCCAGTGGGTAACTAGTTATTTGTTGTTTTAATGGTGTGTAGCATGAGGCCGAGAGGGGCAGTAGATTCTTGCATTGGAAGCCTCAGGGGCAACTTATGGCCATCTTAATTGGCCTAGAGGGTGCAGGAGGCATGAGAAGAGGTTGAGTCTCTACAGCAAAGGAGTTTCTGAGGGTAT